CTTTTCAAGTTTCACAAGTGTTCGTCAGTGAGGCAGCGGTTATGGAACACAAATTTCTGTGTGGCGGCTGAGAATCTGAGCGAGGCGCCCGCCCTCGCTCAGTGTCAATGCAGGGAAACACTGGTTTGTTTAAAGTCCAAAGCGCTATATTTCAACTCAAAGACAGAAAAGAGTCAGTTGATCCGAATAGATCAGATCAACACAAGCAGATCGACAGTAGAAAAACCCTCAAATGTTACAATTTACTAAAGACCGGAAGCGGAGAGCAATCTATATCTAGGCATCTAGAAATTACCTAGGGATTCAATAACGCTCCTACACTACAACACATCTACAGTACACAATCACTCCAGTAGTATCTACTTACTACTGATCCTACTAGTTAAGTAAGCCGTGTACGCGTCAGTATTTGACGCTGCCCGCGCAGCTGGCGCGCTTCCATAAGTCGCATCGCGCACAGGCGCCTCCTTGTTGCAAGGGCGAAGATGCCGCAGTAGTCATCTTGCCGCATATCTCCGCCCCATCGAAAAACGCGTCGCAATAAACACACATGGCGGCAACCCAGTCACTCAATGGAAACATTTGATTGAAACAACTTTGCCCGCAATGCTAGTAAGTTAGGAATGACTGTGTTATGGTGTGTCAGCTAAGTTAAAAAGCACCGGAAACAAAAATGAAGAACAAAAGCAAGCATGGCTACTATTTCTACGGCCCTGCAGAATACAAGAGTCAACAAAAAAAAAACAAGAGAAAAAACAAAAGGCTATGCTGCGCACTGCGCACTTAGGAGCCGTCCAAGTTCGAGCGAGCGTCAATACTACGGTACAGCCAAACAGGCCTACTAACACTACTAAGTGGAGTACTAGTAGTCAGCAGCGAGTAGATAATATTTAATATATATTTATATATAATATATTTATTAATATACTTTACTTATTAAAGCATGAATATTTCCACTCGATTACCTGCAAACGTTTTACGAATGCTACAGTAACTGGCCACCTTGGTGTAGTTAAAGTAAGTACATCTACTCTTATAGCCAATACGCGTATTAGTTTGTCCAAATCACTGCGAATTTACTAGACCAATGTTCTAGATTGAAATCCGTAAATCGTAATCTGGCCGCCAACGTCTAAATTTATGCCAACAAAATACGCATCGATGTTGCTAGCAGGCATGTTGAGCAGTCGAATAATGTTCTGGTCCGGGGTAATTGTTGACTAGTGACGGCAGTGACGCATATCCTTTTCACATATTATATGCTTGCTTGTAATCTCAGGATCTTCGCTATATTCATTATTCCGGAATCCCAAGAGTAAACCATAACGTACGGAATGCGCACTCAGACCACAAGGAGCGAAATCCACTGGCGGCCGATGCATACGTGGCGAAAATGTCCGGCTGCACTATAAATCTGTATGGACCGTCATCGCACGGTTTACGGGCCGGTTACGGCCGGCCATGGCGGCCGTTGTAACGGTCAACAACGGTTTTATTTGACCGCGCGCATTTTCAATTGTTATATTTCTTCAGTAACCAGCAGTGATATTGCGACAAACTTCAATACGCGTTTTGGCTATAACGGTAATGGTACTTATTAACTACACAAGGTGCGCAGTTACTGTAGCATTCGTTCAAAATTGCATAATCAATGGTACGCTGCGGCAGCTCTTACCTGATCCTCGCGCTAATTAGTAATATTAATATTTATATTTTGATGCTAAATGACATTGGTTTATTGGGCATGTTCTCTATCCTTCGAAACGATAAGATAGGCACGCTATATAATAGGATATTCACTATATTATCGTTACTCCTGGTAGTAGTGCTAGTACTGTAGTACTATAGCTAGCTAGTAGTACACTACTAGTGCTATACTACTAGAATTTACGAAAAAAAAAAAACTTAAAGAATCTGATCAGTGAATCATTTTTCAGTTCTGAAAGTTGGAGCTATCTTAAACCAACCGCTGAATCTTAAGTCAATCATTGGAAATCGGGGTCCTGGTAGTAGGATCTAACCATATAACGCGACTAACAACAACAAAACATCAAATTATGCTACAAAAAATGCTACAGGTATCAGAAAGCAAATTGATTTACCAAATACACTTATCGGAGGCTGACATGTTGCTTACGGTGCTGCCCTCTGACATAAAACTGCTCAGATGTATTATTCCGCAGTGGACATGTGTGTTGGGATTGTTAAATAGATCAATGTGGCGCGGGTTGCCTGCTTAATATTTACAAATGAAAAATCAAGGTTATCTTGCTTCGTAAACCAGACGATTATTATCGTTGAGAACAAAACGGGACGTTCACAAAGGTAAGCTTTGGAGCAACATGAGTTTGATTTTTCTGTCCGTGTTGTTGGCAATGTCATGATGTTGAGTAGCTCTAGTACTATAGCCGCGTACATTGACTGCCGCAGGAATGGACTGCCGCTCTTCGGCCAGTCAATCGACTACAATGTACGCGGGCTATCATACTAGAGCTAGATGTGAGGCATGATTTGTCGATTGTTGACTGCAGTAAACTGAGTATAGCCAGATAGCACAGCCACAGCGACCGTGATACCGTGATGCAGCTAAAATTACTTTTTTTTTACGCAGCTGTTTTAGCTCATCTGACATAGTCAGATGACAGCTTGATAGAATCGCATTGATCGTCCGTGGCGTCCGTCCGTCCGGGCGTCCAACAGTTGGCGGCACAAATCTTAAATCCGCTCGACGTACGGTCACGATATATCGGCGACGGGCGGGGTAATCGAAAACGAGTTGGGATGTCGAAGCTGCGGGGTTCAAAGGTCAAAGGTCAAGAGGTGTAGAAGAAGGGGCGCAACATTCTACTCCTTAACTTAAGGTATAGGGAGCGAAATGCAGAATTGTCGGCACAAATTCTAAAGACGCGCTCGACCTGGCTCGGGGGATAGTCGGTGGGAGAGCATCATGGTAGCCGAAAACCATCACTTGTGCCGAAATTGGAGGTCACAGGTCAAAGTCAGTGCGCACAGGGCAGATTTTAGACATTTTCTTGAGCGACATTGGGTCTGACGGGCGATTGAAAAACTTTTGTTTCAGCGGTGACCCTAGCATTTTTATGGCTTTAATGAAAGGACCATGAATTGTCCCTTCTGCTGAATCGCGAAGAGTAAGTGTCGGATAACCTTTGACCCTCAAGAGGCACGGGACAGGTTAAACATGGGATACTTGTTCGACTGTCTGACTTAGAAAGAATTTGACTGCCCCGGTTGCTAGTAGAATTATACACTGCCTGGATGTTATGAGGCTACAATGTCACAGTGGGAATTTCAAAAGCTAATTTGCGTGTAAAGAAGGTTTATGCTCCTTAAATTCGCTATAAAATTTCTATGGCATTCTTACTGGTCAGTATGGTTACATGTAACGTATGGCCACTGCCAGTGGCTGCTGCAGTGCATCTGTTGGCCTGCAGTTTTTGCCTGCCTTAATTGTTACAGGTGGGCAGCTCTCTTTGCAAGGTTGCAGCCTGGTAGGCTTGCGTAGGTACAATGGCATGAGTGCTTACCTATTCTGTCTTGCGGATAGTTGTTGGCTACTACGTTATGATGGGAGCTTCCATCTTTAATCTGAAGACACTTAAACGTACGCGCCATCTCGTGGCAACTTTCAAGTTTCATAACGATCCCAAGTTCCCAACGAACATTCTTTTGAGAAGGTTCCTGATACCATCCCTGTGCATTCCACTGTTTCGGTGTGTATGTGAACACATTTGGGACTAACAGGGTTTACTAGAATCCCACCACTCCACCACAGAGTCACCGCAGTAGACATTAGATGAGCGCTGTCGCTCTGCGGCACTTGTTTGATTTGGAAGTGGCTATTCCTCGTAAGAATTATTTTTGGACTATTCTTACGACATGCAACAATCATTCATAATGGTGACAAAATCACGGAGGTCGGGTTTACATGTTGCTGTATGCATGTTGTGTACAAAGTATGACTGCATGCACTGATTGTCTCATTCGCATCGTTTTTTTAATTCAAATCTCGTCGCAGCAAGGCAGCTTATGTCTGTGCAAAACAATGCAAGGGACGGGTGGAAACAGAAAAATCTTATTATGTCTAGCCATTCAATAAAAAAAACTTGCTTGCCCGAACAGGCAAATGCAATTTCAAGCTACTTGCCCGGGGGGGGGGCGAGTTTTGGTTGCGCCGGGCCATAGGGCAAGCGGGTTTGTCGAGCACGGCACCGCAGGTTTCGAATTTTGGCTGAAAATCTAGTGGACAGCAGGACCACCAACTTCAGAAAGTTGGTGGACCTGCACAAAAATTTGGTGGTCCGTTTATTTACTAGCAGTGAGTAACAAAATAGTATATAAAGATAACCATTGGCATTAAAACAGCATACATGTAACTTAATTAGAGTTGGTCAAATAATGTTTCAATCTCTAGGAATGTCAGGGGAGCTTCTGGGTAAGGTTTTACTTTCGTTTTTCTCCTCCCCAGTCCACGGTACCCCCATGCATAGATCTATCAATGCTGCCGCACATCCGCAAAGTTACGATTATAAGTGCCTAAAATCTTTAATTGTATATACAGTTTACATTGCTTCTAGATATCTAACTGAATAAAAACAGTCCACTTTCTACGTTAAGAAAAGTGACAAATTCAGTTAACAGCTTTGATTACGTGCGTGTCAGGTGTCACTGGTCGTGCCCTCACTCCCCACGGTAACCCCTGCGATATAAAAACTTATTGTTATGCGATCATAAAAACACTGGGCTGCCCTACAGTCATGCCGGGCGATGCCGCAATCGATTTTGTTAGACTGTTGCGAGTTTTTGTTCGTGTGGCGAATCATGCGTTGAGGGAGTTCATGCAGCTCTAGATGTTTTGGAAACCCCGTCTACGTTGAGGAACGGGTCGTATTATGCACTCCCGTTTACAAGTTTGTCTAAACTGCCGTTGCGATAACCGTAGTATTTCAGCGTAAAAGTGCCGGTCAGGAGGACCGGCAGTTTCGTGGAGATGGTGGCCCGAGCAAAAACTTGGTGGGCCTCCGGGTCGGAACCAATTTCGAACGCTGCCGGCGGCACGGGAGCGATTTTTTCTCGTATCTTCCAAAATTTTTGCTCTTGTAATTGTTGTTACCAGAGCGCTTTGAAAGCTGACTGGAGCGAAATCGCTCGCCGCTCCCGTGTATTTTTTCCGCTGCCGCGATAGTACTATTACAGTATTAGTATTAGTATTAGTATTAAATAAATATAAATTATAACTATCTACCAGTACTATGGTGATGGCTGGCATAAGCCCCAGTAGGCAGTACCACACAAACACAAACCTTTACAGTTTTAATGTCTGTGTAAAATCCATCGCCTGATAATTCCACATAAATGGCGATGAAAATTAAAATGCTTTTCTACAACACGGTCTTGCCGCAGGCACGCCACTACAAAGTACAAACTCAAAAGACAATACGAATATCGTTAGTTTCGACAACAATAGGTTGACGATAGGTACACGTATCCATGCTCTACTGACTAAAATCCGTAGAGCTATGGCACATCATCCAGAGGATATATATTATAATACTCGTATGTCGTAAGACGTTGCCACTTGGGTCCTGGCAGTTGGGAGCAGCTAAATTTGTGCATTTTATTGAAATTGCTATTTCACGTTACTACCGTAGCGTTATTGTTGGAGGGCACAACTAGTTACTGTTTTAGTGAGTTGGTTTCAGCTTCTCTAGCCAGAACATCTTTAAAAGAATGCTGGTATATCAGGCCCGTAGCCAGGGGGGGTTCGGGGGGTTTCGTTTTTCAATGTTGGCAATTGCTCGCAGGGCGTGTACAGGATTTGTACCAGGGGGGTCTAACATAACCCCAAGTTGCGAGCACGCGAAGGGGGGTCTGGGCCTCCCCCAGAAAATTTTTAAAATTAGACCCCCTCAGATGCGTTTTCTGCGCGAGCAAGGGGGGTCCGACTCCTTGGACCCCCCCAAAACACGCCCCTGCTCGGGCGCGAAGCGACCAGGCGAGGGAGCCAATCGACCGAGCGGGGAGGTGTGTGGAGGGGGGTGTTCACTGTTCACCTCCGCACGTGAAGATTTGCAATTTATACACTAAAATGGAGCGACCTGGGTGAAATTCTTGCAAAATTTTAAAATTATTTTTTTTTGCTTGGTGGGGGTGGGGGGGGACGGGCTCGGGGGGGGGTTCGTTCGAACCCCCCGAACCCCCCCTGGCTACGGGCCTGGGTATATTATTAAATTCAGTCTACACTAAGGGTGGCACCAGAGGGGCCACGAAAAGCTAGAGCTCAACGGCATCAGGGAGCTAGGCTTGGCATCTCATTCGGGGGAAAAATCGGTCATTCGCAGTAAGTCGATGATCCAATTGATCCTTGGTCTAAGCTCTTATGAGCCATAGTGTTCTCTTTGTATGGTAGGCACTCAATATTGCATAGTTGACTCTAGTAAAACTCTAGTACTAGTAGGTTAAAAACAGTAGGTGGTGCTATTGGGTGTCAGATATGCTGAGTTTGTGTAATATACTCCCCCAAAAGTTCAATAATGGCTTGACAGACGGTTTCCCACTGGTCCTGCAAATTTACACTTAAAAGCATTTCTTCAGACAAGTTCAAAATAACTCGCCACCACCAGTGACAGAAATATTAGAATATCACGGTAATAATGAAAATAAGTTATGTTAATAGTTAACAGGATCTAGCCAGAGAATACCACACTTATAATAATCTTAAGTCGGAGCACAGCAAAACACGCTCTCGGCCGTCAGGACCAGCACAGTAATACCACCCCGGATATTTGTAATCACTTGTTGGTCTATAGTGCTGTGCTAGTCATAGTAACTTGTGGAAACAATCTAAAGGAAGAAGGGTTGATTTATCTGTATAGATAAGATATATTCTAATATATCTATATCATATAGTAATAAATATATATAGCAATTCTTTCCTGCTACAAACGCCAGAGATTCATTTATAACACTTGGATTTTTTGGAGGGGGAATTCATAGCCCTCAGTTTTTGGCCCCATACTTGCAGCCTCAGTTTGCCCCCCCCCCCTCACTGACCAGCACCCACCGACTCACCACCACCCCCCACGATACCACCACCGTCGGAGACCTGTAGCTCCTGTGCCAGGCAACATCTAATGCCATCCCTGGTCTACACCACTGCAATAATGAATTGGCTATACTTTCACTTATACACTTTCAGCTGTGCCCAGAAGGTGAAGCAACGGAAGATATAAAATATTTTATTTCTTTTGTATAAGGGGTTGAACAGCTAATATAAGAATAATTTAATATGTAGTCACCTTGTAATTATTTGTTTTAGTTCCTCGAAACTTTGATCCGTCATTGCATCCATTCGAGATTCCACGGGAGTACACTAGAGCACTAAATGCAACGAAGTTAGAGAGAGTATTTGCCAAGCCATTCATAGGCTCACTTGAAGGCCATCAAGATGGTGTGCATTGCATGCTAAAACACCCTAAAAGCTTATCTACAATACTATCTGGTGCATGCAATGGCGAGGTAGGTATATCCAACCTAGTTTAGTACCGTAATTGCAGTAGTAGTCAAAGCATGTTACAGAAGTTTATTAAAGAATAGTACTGATGAAAGTAAATCTAGGTAAACATTCAATGATCTTTAAACATTTACTCTTTGCCAGTTCGTTTCTGTCAATAGGGCTGATGTAAAACCATATTATTACAGGTTAAGGTATGGAATCTTCCAAGCAAGCAATGTCAGAGGTCCATATCTGCACACAGTGGTTTTGTTAGGGGACTTTGCATGCAACCTGATTGTCAGAGCTTCTTCTCTGTAAGTAGAAACGTTCACCTATTTTCATAATTGCAGGCTTTCAGAAATCCTAATCTTTCTATTATTTCAACTTTTATTGCATGCAAAGCATTGCTAGGATTTTTTTTTATTAGGGACATTTGTGCATCAACAGATTCTCAATTAACTTCAAAAATGTTTTTTGTTTTTTATTTTGCCATATTTCATTAATGCATAGCTCCTTTTTGGTTTCAATTTACTATCAGAAAACCTCGATTTTAAACTGATGTGAATTGGTTTATCCAAATCGTAAAACTGATATTTAAGATGTTATCTGTGAATACCCACACAGGGTGCAAAATTAACGCGAGTCCGGAGTCAAATACTCCCTAATTTACTGTCGGACTCCCTGATTTGACATATTGAGGTGTCCGTGTGACTCCCTGAAAATTCTGCTATAGTAACTATAGTTTCTTCCAGAGCACAGCCTCGCCGAATTGCCATATTTTTTCAGCAAATGTCCAAAGAAAATTTGGCAGACGTGCAACCGCATGAATCTTCAAAATTAGCACATGCGTTATTGTAAATATCTTTACTTTTGAACTTCAGCCTGCGGACTCCCTCATTTTGCTGCAGACTCCCTCTTTTTGAGGGCAGGGAATCTGTTGGATTTCCTTGTTCAAAAGTTAATTTCTACCCCTGCCCACATAGTACTCAGTCCAATGTTACAAAGTCACTTAAGAGACAGTACATTATGCTCAGCATAAACTCTGCAATTATCCTTTGCATTGTGCATTAGATAGTGAATAGAGAACTGAGCTCAACCTATTGTACCCGCTATACATATTACTTATTGTACTTTCTACACAACACCGTGTGTTCACTGCCGTATATAGGGTGCATGTGTATACGCAGCTTACTCATACCGTATATAGCTGTGTATCATTAACACTGCACTACAGGTATAATAATTATGCAGTAGTATGAGAGTAGCCTCACTACAAGAACCTGCTTGGTTAAGGACTCTTCCAGTAACAAGTGTTGCCTCGTGGAATAAAGAGTCACTGGATGCAACCTTTCTCTGTTGCAACTGCAGACCAACTCTAGTTTGTACGTGTGTATGCTACCAGACTCGGTTACAAACTCCCAGGCACATGTATAAGCTCACAACAACAGCAGGCCTTCCATGAACAAAGCCACGGAACACGTTGCACATGAACGCAAACTATAGTTTCCTCCTACTCGGCTGTAGGACTTGCCCATTTATGTTACTGTCATATTTAACTAATCGCTTTGGATCAGCCTCTTTTGACGCATAACCATCACAATGTTTACTGAAATGTGATATATTTTATTGCTTTTTATAGGTAGGAGATGATAAAACTATTAAGCAGTGGAAAATGGAATCACCTGCATATGGAGAGCTAGAAGAACCAGTCATGACGATTCTAGGAAAGGTGTGAGATGTGCAAGTAGTATCCTATTGTTATATATCCTTATTATTGTCTGTGTATGAAATGAATTCTGGATGATGTGAATATGCAATGATAAACATTATATGGACCAGCTAGGAGTAAATAATGTTCCTGATAGTAAAAAATTGCAAAAGAACAGGGTTGCTAATTTGAATATTAGCAATTAAATTCCACCCTGCATGGTTTATATCAATAGCTAATAACAGTACAGTATTAACTAGAAATTTACAATAAGAAATTAGGTTAATTTTTCACAATAAGAAAGGCATTTTACCATTTAAATTTTTGTGCAACAGTTCAGGTAAATTTCTATCTCGGTGCAGTTATAATTTTGTATAAACATGTTCTTTGTGGTGCAAACTTAATAATTGAGGAGTTCTCGTGTTGTTTTTTTGCAGACGATGTTTTTGGGTATAGACCACCATTGGAAGGAACCTTTCTATGCAACCTGCGGTGATAGGGTGGATATATGGGATGAAACCCGCACAGAACCAATGAGAAGCTTTACGTGGGGTCTCGATAGTATCACATCGTTAAAGTTCAATCACGTTGAGGTGTGTTTCGCAAGTGAATAGCAATGAAATGCTTATTATGTACTTAACGTGGTTCATATGTACTAAGACTTACTGTGGTATATTATATATTAACCACTTTGTAATGGTAAAAGCTGCCAAAATACTCGTGTTAATAGTTGAGACAGTATACTAATATTGGAATTTTCTTTCTTCATCTATGGTAGATCACCCATACAGCTTACCTAAAACAAAGATAGAAATAATATATAACAGACTAGATGCAATGAAATATGATAGCTCCTAAAAGGTTTTGCCAATTTGCATAAATTGCTTGAGACTCATTCATTTCATAACAGGTTTGATTAAAAGTTGTAATATTTGACCTGTTTGTAAATTTTTTATTGCATTTATTTGCAGACAAATGTACTTGCAAGCACAGCAAATGACAGAAACATAGTTCTGTATGACATGCGTGGAGCCACACCACTGAGAAAGGTAACGCTAATTCAGAAGCATGATTCCTTGATAGATTCAGAAGGATTCATTTAATACCATAGGTTGCATGACTTTTTAATAATATTTGAATATATATGTGCATAAAGGATGACAAGAAGGGTGAAAGACCACCATGGTCAGAGATGAATGTAGCTGTGGTATAACAGTGCAGTTCATTATTTCTCTAACATAGGGTTAATTAGTTGCGATTTGTGATTGTCATAATTTAGTCCATGAATAGTATATTCATATAGCATAAAATAAGTAACATGGAAAATGTATGTATGTAAACATTCCATAGCTATATGTTGTTGTTATGCCTCTTGTGTTACTTCCTCTGGTATATGGATACATCTATATGTGTGAATTAGGTGCATGTTGTTGAACAGACACACAGGCAGACCGATGTCTTTTATTGGGTTGTTGACATGTGAATGTTACTATGGTGGCAACTCAAACTGTTCATGTAATGTATGTATGTATGTACAATGTAAGGTCATGTAAAGTTGTGTAATATTTTTTGATTCGCTTTGCAGGTGATTCTGGAAATGCGAAGTAACGCTATAGCTTGGAATCCAATGGAGGCATTCATCTTCACTGTAGCAAATGAGGATTATAAGTAAATCTTACTGCTAACCATGTGTGCAAATAGGAACCCCCATTAAAAAAACATGTGTTGGAAAATCGCCTCGAGCAACTGAGTTTCGGCTGGTTGAAAGCCTTTTGTTTACATTTTTGTCAGCTTTTTTTAAACATCGAAAAAAATGTAAGCCAATACCTCCTCTCATCTCCGTACCATCCTCTCCTGCTATTCGTGTTGGCTTGTGACTCCTTGGTAAATGCTGTATGTAATCAAGTTTCGGAAATTCTGTGTTCGATGGCTCGTTTTGATGGATGTGTTTTAGCTGAATACATCAACAGCATTGCTTCAGATATTAAATGAATATATTTGGATGGATGTTATCAGCTAACAAGCTGACACATCATGGCCATACTTAATTTAGGCAGATTTCTATCATGTTTTTGTACTAACTATAGTAGCATCATCTCACAATGTTTGGATAGGATTTTATTTTGGTTGATATTTTTTCTTACTTTCTTCCTTGCCACCTGGCTACTGTCAAAACATTGTATTGATTATAAACACATTATGGTGTTTGGCAGTTTGCAGTTATGTTTGAAATATGTAGTAAGAAAAGAGCACCGGGTGAAATGAATTACTACTGCTCACATTTATGATGGGTGTGCCACATGCCAGCTGTTGTTCTATGACACAACATGAAAAAAATGGTTCTATTTTGAGAGTATGGAGAAGTATATATGTGAAATATTCAAATATATATGTAGTATGTATAAAGATAAGGCAAACCGTAATTGGACAATGTTAAGATTTCACTTATAGCTTTTCTTAAAAAGCTTGCTTTTCTTACAGTCCTACCACAAGAAAGTCAGTGTGTCATAATCAGTTGTGTTAGTCTTTGTTTGATTTTTCCTCAGTTTAATCATTTTTGCTCACGATTTGTTTTTCTGTTTGATAGCCTTTACACATTTGATATGAGAAATCTGTCCTCGCCCACAAATATCCACATGGACCATGTTTCAGCTGGTAAGAAAATATATACCTAATATAATATATACTTACCTGTATCATTGTTTACTATTTATAGCAGTTGATGGGTGCTTAATATCAGTAAGTGATGATAAAAGACGTTTATTTGTACCAGTAAGTGACTGTTACATAGGCGAGCATGGAATATATTGCATGTTAGCAAGGCTGTTGCCAGATCCTTGTGATTATAGTGGAATTTCTGTTCAATAAGTATTGCTGTTCACAGTAACTTTCTGTGACAGATATAGTGGTATCTAATGATTATATATAGTAAATGTAATATATTTCTGTATGGGCATTAACTTTCTGTGACAGATATAGTGGTATCTAATGATTATATATAGTAAATGTAATATATGTCTGTGTGGGCATGCATGCCTTCATTCTTCATAATTTTTTCTGGAGTATGCACCTATATCAATAACTAAGATCATTATCTAGTCAGCATTCATTAGTATTTAATGTGTTGTGATTTCAGTGTTGGATGTGGATTATTCTCCAACGGGTAAAGAAATCGTATCAGGCAGTTATGACAAGACCATACGGATTTTCCCTGCAAACAAAGGAAGAAGCAGGTATGTTGAATGATTTCTATTTACTTGATGAAAAATGTTTTACGCAGCACAGCACATGCGTAGTGCAACAAAATTTCTAACCTCACAAAAAGCACATGTAAAAATACTAAATTAAGCTTATTGGCTACATTAGCTGGGTTAGCTTTACAGCCAAGAGTGTAGAGTGCTGTGTTGATCATAAGCAGTGGTGCCTACCCTGCTATTCATAGCATGCTAGGCACACAACAGTGTTGGACAGTTGTAGCTAAGCTAAGTTAAGTTGGTTGTTAAGATGCTGTTGAAACCTACATGTGCATGCCTTAAAAACCATTGCCGGTAATATCCATGGCATATAGTTTTTTCTGGTTCTGACTATCAGTCTAAACGTGTTGCTATCTAATAGGAAAATGTTTTACTGCTACTTCAGTTAAATCTTTCGAATTGGGTGTGACTGTCATGAGCTGCTGTATATATATATATAGCATGGGTGAAAATATATTTGATTTAAATATTTTTATGTCAATACCTTTTTCATGCTAAATGTTTGTATGCCATAAGAAGTTTATGCAAATGATTAAAACAAACAGTGAATGCATTTAAATACATAATTACAAACATCTTTTATTGCAAATTATTATGTACTGAAAATCCCAGGAAGTTTTTAAAAAGTTCATCTGCAACAATTGACTGGAGTGTTATCAAACTGCCCGCTTGTAAGCACCGACCCCGTGTTGTTCTTAATAGCTTCCCTTCTTGCCATCGTAATCTGCCTGCTAGCTATAGGAACAAGTCTTGCTGCATTACTCATCGTCGTTTAATCGAAGACACGTGAGTTTAGCCGAAGGTTAGCACCTATGAATCATCAGTAGTAACAGGAAGATTACTACCGTAGTGAGCTCGCCCCTAGCGACCAAACCTGCGGCGCTCTTCGTCCTAGCCGACGGCGTAGTCGTTGTCGTCGTCGTCTGGTCGTCGTCGTCGGCGCTGCAGGTGAGCAGACGCACATCGACGTCGCGGATCGGCGTGGAGCGCGCGGCGGTGACGTGGCAGCGCAGCGAGCCGTCGTCGTAGCCATCGAGCGTCAGGTTGCTGCGCTCGCCGGCAATCTGCAGCCAGAAGACGAAGGCAGCCGCGCGGCAGTCGCAGTCGATCGGGTTGCCGCGCAGGTCAAGGCGCGCGAGCGGCAGTCGCTCGAGCAGCAGCGTCGGCAGCGTGGCGACGGCCTGCCCGCGCAGCAGCAGCACGCGCAGCCGCGGCAGGAACGGCAGCATCGCGGCGACGTCGGCCGCCGTCGTGCTGCGCGCGAGCTGCGACTCGGCGCTCACGTCGAGCGTGTGCAGGCCCGCGATGCCAGCGAACGCCGGCGCGACCGACGCCTCGCCGCCGCAGCCGGCGCAGTCGCGCAGCCGCAGCTCGCCGAGCCGCGGGCAGTCGACGCGCAGCTGCGACGGCGCCCACGCCGTGCGCAGGTCGAGCGACTCGAGCGTCGCTATGGCGATGTCGCCGCGCAGCGTCGTCCAGTCCTGCGCGGCGAGCACGAGCTTGGTGAGCGGCGGCGTCGCGTCGCCGTCGTCGACGAGCCGCACGCTCGTGATCTGGTTGGCGGCGAGGTTCGCGTAGCGGAGGCGCGGGCAGCAGGCGAAGGCGGCGCGCAGGCTCAGCGGCACGTCGCGCGCCACCAGCTCGTTGCTGTTCAGGTAGAGCGCGCGCATGTTAGGGAAGCGCGGTGCCGCTCCCGCGCCCGCCGCCGTCAACTCGTCAACGGTGACGTCGTTGTGCGAGAGATCGAGCGACTGCAGCTGCGGGAGTTGGAGTGCCGCTTCGCCGGATCGTGCGGCGGCGGTGATGCAGGTGGCGTGCGCACACGAGTCGGACAGGCCGAGCGTGGCGAGGCGCGGGAAGCGCAGCAGCGTGCGCAGGATGCTCTCGTCGCTCGTGCGCTGCCCGTTGAACTGCAGCGTCTCGACGCGCGCGGCGAGGCCGGCCGCGACTAGCCGCTGCAGGATCTCATGGACGCTGAAGTCGGCGTTCAGCGAGCAGTCGAGGTCGGTGTTGTCGTGGCGACAGAAGCACATCTCCGGACAGCGTCCGTCTTCTGCGGCCGTCTCCGTGACGATGGCGTGCAGGAGGATGAGGATGCACAGCGCGACGCGTTGCAGTCGGGCCATGGTGCTGTCGCGTTTACCGCTGAGTTGAATCTCTCGAAGCCTTCACGAAGAATGGCAGCTGCGGCTTGTGTAGAGTTCCTCGCAACTGGATAGTGTGTGTGGATGCGCACACGCAGGGGGTCAGGGTAGAGAATGTGCAAGATGGCTTTGAGTACTCATATCACGCACTGGCAATCTCCCGACGGCATGCACACGTGCGTGCGTGAGCTCTACGAGACGCTAAGATCTGCTGATACGGGGTTGATTCATCGAAGCGAGAGATGAGACTGAAAGCGTCCACCCACTGCCAGGTGTCTGCACATATGCTGCGGCGCATGGGAGCTGCAGTGCGGAGGGGCGCATAGAAGCAGTGCTCTGTGATGTGTTACGGATAGACTGCGGCTGCTGCGCTTAGCCATATATATATGGGGGTTATTTTTAGCAGTGAGCGTAGCTTTTTTTGTTTCTGTCATGCCGCCAAGCAGAATCTCCTGACAACATAAACAAGTTGCGGCATGTGTGTCTCAGCATGTGAGTGCACAGTGAATACATTCACTATACACATTTTACAGCATATCCAAGGTGCATTTATACATATACATATATACAAGAAAGTGAGCATCCATGTGCTAGTCCATGCACACACACTTGCACACACGCATGCACACGGGTCTATATGCATTTTGAGAATAACGTACATACACATACGCATACAAGAATACATGCACGTATGAACACACACGCGTGCACATTCGCCCAGGTTTGCATGTATTTAGAGAAATGATGCACATACATATACACAAACAATTGTACATATTACATCCATGTGTCCTTGCATGCATGCACACGCACATGAGTCTGTGTGCATTTAGGGGAATTTTCTATTTCATGTGTTGGTTTCATTATATTCAACTAAATATAGAGTATTTGTTTTGCAGCAACTGACACAGATTGTAAACAATTTTACATACACAGTGACAGATGTTCAGTGCTATCATGTTTTCTTAATAATGTTCACACGTGTACAATGGCTACTAAGTAAGTTATTTGTCCAATTACACATGCAGGGTTTGGGAAATAAGCAGCTGCAGCTGCAAGATGTTTTTGCCCAAGAAATTTAACCTTGATCTACTACCATAAGTAGCCCTTTTGCTTATATATATATATTTATATATGTTGTGCTGTTTTGTCTTGGACACGTTTAAATTAGGTCTACACTACATGAAGGCCGTCTTCTATAAAAAAAAACCTCACCGATTGTCACGCGCTCACATATATTCATGCACTTTTATAAACGACTGTGTTAAGCAACCCATTGTAACTATTTTGCCAGATAACAGTAACATGTCATTAAGCAGTAAATGAATGCCATGGGTGTATCCAGGATTTTTTCTGGGTGGGTCGTGATCATAATTTTTTGGATCTTTTCACAATGAAATAGCAGCAAGATGTGATTACAATGTCAATACAATCAGGGGCGTGTACAGGATTTGTACCAGGGGGTGTACAAATCCCTAACCGTAACCCAAACTTGGGCGAGCACTGCGAAAGGGGGGGTCTGGGGGCGGCCTCCCCATAAAATTGTTGAAATTAGACCTCCTTAGAGTGCGTTTTCTGCCGCCGACAGGCGGGGGGTCCGCGGGACCCCGCTGCGACGCCCCCCAGCCCCCCTGTACACGCCCCCTGACAATTTAATTTAAAAAAAAAAAATTTTGTTTAAAAGAAAAAATTTATCAGGTTTAACAAAAAAGTTTTTGGATCTCAGTTGAAAACAGAGTTGTTTTTGAACTTTTTGTCTTTAATCTTGATCTTATCCAGTCTTGACTTGTCTTGTCTTTGTTCTTTGTCAGTCGTTTGTCTCTCTTTTATGAAACAAAATTTTGTATTAAAAAAGGGCTCAGTTTCAGAATTGCCCTGGAACTTGGGTAGATTACGTCACGCCACAGTTCCGCGCAATGGTCTTTGACTTCATTGCTGGCTGCCAGCCTGAATTCTTTTTCATTTATGTATGTAAAAAGGCCCTCGAAAAAAAATGTCTTTGGAAAAAATGTGGACCTTTTAAAATTTTGGGGGGGTCGTACGACCCTCACGACCCCCCCCCCCTGCATACACCCATGTAATGCTACTGACATTTTACTAGCTTTTGTAGCAGTGTTTCTGTTTTACATGTTATTGTTGTAGAATGTAAGCTTCATTTGGATTCTGATGCACAGGGGTTTTAATTCGGACCTGGTTGACCTGCTGTTTGGTTGACTATGTTCTTTGGCTAATGCTGCAGGGAGGTGTACCACACGAAGCGGATGCAGCGGGTCACCTGTGTGCGCTGGACGATGGATAATAAGTACATCCTGTCCGGATCGGATGAAATGAACATTCGAATCTGGAAAAGTGCGGCATCAGAGAAGCTTGGAGTGGTATGTGCTGACATGGATGTAATTCTTACAGTTGTATGTTCAGCTGTAGTTTAATCATTTAATCACTTCTAATTGGTAATATTAATTATGGAGAATAATCTGCCTATAACAAAAGGTTTTCAGATATGTAGCCTAAATATTATTATAATCTACATATTTCATTTGACAATATTTTTAATATAAAATAATTCGTGTATCTTGAGACTTACTGGCTAGCATATTTTACTGGCTACTAAAATTCGTCATGGTGATTAGCTCATTAGATCATTAGATTTCTCTCTTTAATTTTGAATTAAAAATATCAATTAGTTGTTGTCAGCAGTTGTCAGTTAGTCGTAGCTCAGTACTGCAGCATATGGTTCCAATGGGTCAGCATCCAGGGCTTCAGTAAAAATGATTGATCCAACATGTCCAACGTTAGCATTAGGTCGGTAGTGTGTCAATTCGTGGTCGTCTCATCGCGTTCTTTTGCCTCGGTCAGCAGTCTGAGTCATAAGACGGTCTGAGTTCATAAGGCGGTCAGCAGTCTGATTATGTGGCTACTTCAAGTTGCGGTGTGCAGCGATTATATGGTCATGGTTACGTTTTTGCAGACGACTGGACGAGAGCAGATGAGCAAGCAGTACAATGAGAAGCTGAAGGCGACGTTCGCCCACCACCCGCAGATCCGTCGCGTGGCACGCCACCGACACGTGCCCAAGTCACTCTACAGCGCCTCGCGTGAGATCCGCATCATACGCGAGTCCAAGAAGAGAAAGTGAGTGCTAAGTGAACACTTCAGTAATTATATGATCAATAATATCAGTAATATCAGCATCAGTAATGATAGGGTCACGTTTTAACATTTTGTATGGCAAGGCAAATGTTTCTAGTTAAATGGCAGGGGGTCACCAAAGCAACTAACGCTAGTACTGTAGCCTTCGTTTCTCTGCATTTCAAAGGCTAGAGTGCGGGGTCTAGAAAGCCAACTTGGTTTTCATCAACACCTTTTTATGTGGGATAGGGAGGGATACATACACAACACGAAATTTATTGAAAGGCCACGAAGGCAAACCGGGTTGGGCACCGTTGGTGTTTTATTGCTGTGGATATCAGCTAATTTTTAAAGCACCGCAGCTATTTGGGAAGGCAAGCATGTACAGTATTTTCTGTCGGTACTGTTGATGACATTCAAGCTCTGTAGTTACCTTGATTTAGGAATAATGTCAATGAGTTGCCACCAGAACTAACGTAGTGCATCTCATTCACATTGTGCGTACCAGGAACTATTTATCTCAGGTTTGAACATTTTTCTTATACAGGGAGAAGAATGCTCGTGCACACAGCAAACCAGGGACTATGGAGATTGTACCAGAAAGACAGAAGCACGTCGTGGGTGAACACGAGTAGGCGAAATAGTCTAGCAGTACGTGTACAAACTGGAACAGCAGAAGAATGCATGCTTTTAAGTGCAAAATCGATAATAGCAGTAGAGGTGATGCTGAAAGCAACGCATTAAATGTGTGAGAATAACCAGTTTACAGTTCTTTATTAACAAAATGTGTAATTAACATTTATATGTAATAATCACTAATACATGAAGAAAAATCACTGGTACGAATCACTGGGTAGATTAAAGCAATGCGGATTTGAATTAACGCTGGAAAACCACGGGAAAATAGTTGGATCTCTAAATACTCACGATCCTCTACGAGAAAGGTTTTTTATTTTTAGTAATAAACACCCAACTTATCTGTCATGAATATAGTATCAATTATTGTTTTTAAAAAGAAAGATAGTATGGAGTAGACTACGCATAAAAGGAATCTAAATGATCAAGATGTCTATAGTAAGCTGCACGTATGTCTGCGATTTAACATGCCGAGCGGAAAACTGCTTTGCTCTAGTTCTAAATGTGTTTTTACACAGCATTAACAGCATTGTTCAAGGTTCCAGAGACGTGTAATTAATGAAAAATGTGAAGCGTCATGATCTGCTGCAAGAGATCAACTGATATAACTACAGTTTACATGCGTTTTGCACATGCGGTACTGCTATTGAATCTGAGACGACCATCTGTATATTATGTATATATGCTACACGTTATAACGCGATTAAGTGTAGAAAACTTTCACATCTTCATGGTGAAACTCTTTTTCAGTTCGTAAAGGTTTTAATAAAGAATAGGGTATCACGAAAAACGATTTCCTTCTCGGCGTTCTATTTATTAAGTTTTTTTGACAAAGGTGCTTTCTTTCTGACACCTATGTAATTGTAATTAGTGACATCACTAGAAGAACAGTTCTGTGACCACTGATATATTTGAAACGTATATAGAATCATGCCTTTGATTCTGGAAGCTCTCTATACTGCTCGAGGCCGGCTTCTTCAAAACTTAATGGCACCTTACTGTTTCCCAATACTCCCAGATCCGTGTTTGATTTTAGTGCTGCTTCTGTGCCACATTTTACTGCCTCTTCCACGTCGGGTTTTACTACTGCTTCTACTTCTTCATTATCTCTGGCCACTTCTATGGTATCCAAACCCGGGAGAACAACGGAATCTTCGGCGAATGAGACACTCTTTCTCTTCCTTCTCTTGTGTGATGTGTGCGGTGACCTTTTTACCTCGCAGGCGACCTCCACCTTCCTGTCGCCCACGAGTGTTGGGTTTGTGTGCGTGCCAGCCTTGCTCACTGCCATACTTGTTAGACCTGAGAGCTCGCTGTTAACATACCTTCGCTCATCGGCAGCTTGTAACATGTCAGATATCTGCTGGCTAAGATCACGCGTGATGGGCGCATGAGAAGAGGGCCCACTATAGTCCTCCTCGCACGCGGTGGTGTGAATGTCCTTTGTATCCTCGCTCTGGGGGTTTGACTGGTCAGTGACTCCCAAGCTGAGACTGCTCTTCCTCATCTTCTTCTTTCTTGGTGGCGGAATCGGTATAGTGCTCACCTGCGGTTCTGTCTCTGGACCCTCATCCCCCACAAATGCCGCGTTTACGTAGGTGGCAGCATTACTATCGGCCTCCGTCTCTATGGCTGCGGGTCCTTCATTCTGCTCTGCCACGCCAAGCATTGTTCGCATTGAAATCTGCCTAGAGAGGGAGCCACTGTTTGACCCACTGTTAGTTGTTTCCGATTTACTCGCCGAACTGTTGCTTTGTCGCTTACTCTGGTAACTGTCAGAACGTTTAGATGCCGTGGACATGCGGGTACCCTGCAACATAATTGTTTAAAAAAATGCGAGGGGATATTACATCTTATCTGTAGGCCGTAGATAGCGGGAGGGCAAGGGGCAGTTGTCCCCCTCGGACTAATGTAGATACTACACAGATACTACCACATTCAACATGCCCAGAACACAAACGACACGTCGCTTGCGACCAACCACAGGCAAAATATGTGTACGCCTATGTATCCAATATATGTACAAGGGTACATAACGTTGAAATAACCAATTTTAACCTTATATTCCTGAAGTTTTATATTAGCTCTTTGCACAAGCCTTTTAAGGCGGTCGATCGCCATCAAAGTCGTATTCATGTATTAACCGTTAAACCAGATAACCATCCACTGCAAAGCCATTGAATTGTGTTAGGCCTGAACTATTTAGCTTTCGCACCGGCAGGCAGGCATCGCCATCGCGATATCGAATTCGGCTTGCAAAGCTTCAGTCCAGATCTTATTAACCTTGCGTGTGTTTCTCTATTTGTGAAGTACACTATAATTTCAAGCGAGTTGTAACGCCGAAAAGGTGATAAGTTAAGAATACAAGTTAACGGTGCGGGGGTATATGACAATGAATGACGCTTCGTCAACTAAGAATAAACAAAACAGTAATAATAAGAAGAATAAAACAGCTCTAATCACCTCTGATATGCTGCGCATCGTGCTGGCCATTGTGTGTCGCATCGTGACTGTCTGCACGTACTCTGGCGTGTTCTTGTCCGCATGGAAGAAGATGATGAACACGCGCGGGAAGAACATGCAGACGAGAATGAAGATGCTCGCTGCGTTCACGCACAGGCACAGCACGCAGCTGCGTGTCTTGCTCGACACGCCAAAGTAAGCGGAGATGCTGGCGATCCACACCAGGTTCAGACTGAGCATCGTCAGACTGATGTGCTTCGTCTCGTTGAAGTTCTCCGGCAGCTTGCGCGCCTTGAAGGCGAGCACCGTGCAGACGATGCCCAGTGCAGAGATGTACGCCATCGACATCGCCTGCAGGTACACCCACTCCGCGCTGCAGTAGACCTGTACTTCCTTATCCAGGCTGACGGCCTTTTGCGCGTACGGCGTGCTGGCGATGAGAAACGCCACCAGCATGAGAACCTCGATCCCGCTCAGACACAGCACGATGATCCCCTGCTTGTGGTGCACCGTCGCATTGACAGCACGCGTCTTCAGGTTGAAGATGCGAATGTAGTGGTACGTCTTTGCGAGCAGGATTGAGTTGCATATGGTGTAGACGATGCCGAAGAACACCGGCTGCACAGTGCAGCTGAAGTCCGTTGACTCGCCGATGTACATGAACGGCAGGATGAAGGATGCAGTCAGAATGGCTAGCAGCAGGAAGCTTAGTTCGCGGTTCGAGCTTTTCACGACTGGTGTGTCGCGATAGATGCCGAATACTATAAGCACCATCACCGAGAGCAGCACTCCTACCACGGCCACGCACATGCCTAGAAATCCGACAGAATATATATCAGGAGTAGATAATAGGGACCCTATTATACCCTATATCCATAATACCAATACCCTATTATCTACTCCTGATATATATATATCAGGTGTGTGCGTGCGTGCGTGTACGTGTGCGTGCGTGCGTGTGCGCGTGCGTGTGTGTGTGTGTGTGTGTGTGTGTGTGTGTGTGTG